GATGTATGGTTACTTGTATGGCGAGGAAACCAACTCCCATCATGCTTTGTAACCAACTGCTTGCTTCTTTTTGAATGATACTTTTCAATAGAATAGAAAGCCCACTGGCCCTATCTTTTATATATACACTATATGTATTTAAACTTTCTTATTGATCAATATTTAGGTGAGAAGCAATTTCTTGCTGTGAAAAATACCTTATTGAACAGGTCTGTGTTTATTACTGTACATAAGCAAGAGTTTCTCTAAGGTATTTATCAAAAGTAGAATTGCTCAGTCATAGTTAATATTTATTTTCAACCTCACTAGATACTGTCATAGAAGTAGAGAGCATCAGTATGCTCCCAGTTCACAATCCCCTCAACCAGTGAAATATGTTTTCCTTATATCCTTATTTCTGGTATGCATAGTAATATTTTCCTGGTTAATAGTGAGTTGGGCATCTTTTCACATCTGCATATTGGCTCAACACTGTAACTTGCCAATTTATGTCTTTGCCTGTTCCTTTAAAAAAGCTTTTAAAATATAAGAATTATAGGATTCTTAAAAAATAAAATTCTAGATAGTAGTCCTTTATTATAAATGGACTTACCTTCTCCCATATTGTTTTTATGTTGATACTGTCATATGAATATGTTAAATGTGGATACAGTCATAGCTTTCATTATTACCTAATAATCTTTTAAATTTTATTTTTTACTAGACTGTTGGTTTTCTAGGCAATCAGGTGTGTCAAGTGCAAATAGATATAATTTTGGTTTTATCCTAAATATTTATAGTGATTATTTTTAAAATTATTGTTATTGTAACAGAGTCTCCAGAACAAGGTTTAGTATTCATGGTGATAGCAGGCATCTGTTCATTTTCTCCAATTTAATGAAAATTACTTGGTGTAATGTTTACTCTAGGTCTGAGATAAATAGATTTTGTTGTGGCTCAGTTGTCTCAGTTCCTGTTTAACTTTTTTTTTTTTTTTTTTTTTTTTTTTTTTTTTTTTTTTAGAAATGTCTGCTAAATATAGTCAGATGCCTTTTTGGCTCATTGATACGATGTTTTTCTCCTTGAGTTTGTTAATGTGACAAGTTGTACTGTAGTCATTAAGGCAGGTATGTTAGAATGAACAAGAATGTTCATTCATGTATGTTAGAATGAGCAAGAATGAACAAATAGACCAATGGAACAAAATGAAGAGCCCTGAAATATCTCTCTCTGTATATATATATGTGGTTGTCTAATTTGTGATAAAGTTTCCTCGGCCATGTGGTTGGGAAATGGTGGTCTTTTCAATAAAAAGCACTGGATCAGTTGTGTATCTGTTCTGATACAAAATTCATCTTGACCCTTACCTCACAATACATAAATCAATTCCAGATGCATGAGTGATCTAATCGTAAAAGGGAAAACAAGAAGGGCTTCAGGAGAAAATGTAGAATATCTTTCTAGCATTGGAGAAGCAACATGATTTTTTTTTTCTTTTTTTTTTTTTGAGAAATTTTGAGAAAAAAGCCAAATTTTAAATGATGATATTAAATTGTTTAAAAAACCGGCCGGGCGTGGTGGCTCAAGCCTGTAATCCCAGCACTTTGGGAGGCCGAGGTGGGTGGATCACCTGAGGTCAGGAGTTCGAGACCAGCTTGGCTAACATGGTGAAACCCTGTCTCTACTAAAAATACCAAAAAAAAGAAAAAAAAAAAATTAGCCAGGCATGGTGGCACGCACCTGTAGCATTCCCAGCTACTTGGGAAGCTGAGGCAGGAGAACTGCTTGAACCTAGGAGGCAGAGGTTGCAGTGAGTTGAGATCACACCATTACACTCCAGCCTGGGTGACAAGAGCAAAACTTTGTCTCCAAAAATAAAAATAAAAAATTGTTTTTAAAAAACCAAGTGTGTTGGATATCAGTTGTTGTTGTTGTTTTGTTATAAGTATTCTACTGTGCCCCAGGCTCTTTTTTGTGCTACAGAGGCTGGAAGCCTCAGCACTACAGTTTTTAGACCCTCTTGCCTCTAGAATTCCAGATGTGATCTATGTTCTTCCAGTGAGATAAACTCATGCAAGATTAGGAAGACAGAAGAAAGCAGAAAGCAACAGCTTTCTCCTTCTCCTTTGCCAGTGCTGATGGTATGAGGTTTTGCAGCAGCTTCTGATAGTGCCTTTGTCATGAAGGTATTTAACAAAAGTTGAGGTCATAAATTATATGATATTACCACAAATGATTAAAACACAAGGTTTGGTACATGTTGGGCCACTTTCAAAATATGCAAATTTAATGTAAAGTACATCCACAAGATATAGTTTTGGAATAAATGAAGGCTCCAGAAATATGTTGAGAAATAACATGGATTTAATTCCTGGTGAGGCACCTTTAGTTTTTATGATTTCAAAGTTAGTAAAATCATATATAGGTGTGTGTGTGTGTGTGTGTATATATATATACACACACAAATATAAATATGAAAAAAATTGAGTAGTTGGAATTACAGATGTGCCTCACCATGCCTGGCTAATTTTTGTACTTTTTTGTAGAGTCAGCTGTTACCCAGGCTGGTCTTAAACTCCTGGGCTCAAGCCATTCACCTGCCTCATCCTCCCAAAGTTCTGGGATTACAGGCTTGAGCCACCGTGCCTGTCCATGACCTGTTAATAAGAACAACAAAAAGGTTAGAATGACAGGTTTTAGATGTACAATGGAAGGGTTTTTGGAAAGGACACTGCTCTGTGTCAAATGATGGAGCATTTGACACGTGGGTTTTTTTTTTTTCCTACTAAGAAACTGCAGATGTCTGAGAGGCAACTGAAAATGTTAATAGTACAGATTTAGATACTGAGAAAAGAAATGAAACTCTCTGAAAGAAACGCTCTTATTCTGCATGATTATGATGAATTGAAGATTCAAACCGCTTTTTTCAAACTGAACAATACGAGAAAAGAAACAATCTGAAGAAAATCCTATTTCAGAAGGTCAGTGAGCATGATATTGGTCTAAGTGCGCCATCATTTGACACAGAGCAGGGCCCTTTCCAAATATCCCTCCATTGTACCTCAGTGAAGTCAGGCGTTAATTCTCTGGTGCTGTTGGACAAGGAAAATGACCCACAGTTAGTTATGTTCACCAGCAGTCTCCTCACCAGAGAGGGTGTGAAGAATTTAGCCCCTAGTGTCAGAAGGCCTCAAAACTTAGTCAAAACAAGGCCAGGTGCAGTGGCTTAAGCCTGTAATCCCAGCACTTTGGGAGGCCGAGGCAGGCGGATCACTTGAGGCCAGGAGTTCGAGACCAGCCTGGCCAACGTGGTGAAACCCTGTCTCTACTAAAAATACAAATACAAAAAATTAGCTGGGCGTGGTGGTGGGCACCTGTAATCTCAGCTACTCAGGAGGCTGAGGCAGGAGAATCCTTTGAACTTGGGAGGCTGAGGTTGCAGTGAGACAGTATGGTGCCACCACACTCCAGGCAGGGTGACAGAGTGAGACTTTGTTTCAAAAAAAAAAAAAGTCAAAACAGAAAGAGAATATGGAGGAGATATTTTAATAATTCTTTTTATTGCTTTTTTTTAATGGAGTGTTGATTTCCTTACATAAATTTAATTGTAAACAGGTACATAGGACTGTGATTTTGAATTTAAAAAATACTTTGGGACTTCAGCCTTCCTAGTAGTTTAGTTTGTTTGTTTGTTTGTTTGTTTTTGATACGGAGTCTTGCTCTGTCGCCCAGGCTGGAGTTCAGTGACACGATCTTGGCTCACTGCAACCTCCGTCTCCCAGGTTCAAGCGATTTTCCTGCCTTAGCCTCCGAGTAGCTGGGACTACAGGTGTGCACCACCATGCCCGGCTAAATTTTTTTGTATTTTTAGTAGAGACGAGGTTTCACCATGTTGGCCAGGCTGGTCTCGAACTCCTGACGTCAGGTGATCCACCTGCCTCGGCCTCCCAAAGTGATGGGATTACAGGCGTGAGGCACCGTGCCTGCCGCCTTCTTAGGGTTATATAGTAGCTCAGATTTTTCATTTATCTCCTATTTCATGCATATCCTATTCTTTGCAAAATGAAACAAGATTGCCTAGGCATTTTCAAATATCTTCTAAAGTTTTATATTCTTAAGGAAAGAACAAAGTATTTCATGTATTAACTAATATATCAAAGAATTTGGGATACAGAAGATGCCTCAGAGTGGTCCCTGGTGGGCTTATCCCATTTCTTTCCTGAAGGAACGCAGGGCAGGACAAATTCAATCTTATCTGAGACCTCTCCAGTTAGTCTTTTTCTTTTGAAACGGAGTTCTGCTCTTGTTGCCCAAGCTTGGGTGCAATGGCGCATCTCAGCTTAATGCAACCTCCGCTACCCGGGTTCAAGCGATTCTCCTGCCTCAGCCTCCCGAGTAGCTGGGATTACAGGCGCGCGCGACCACGCTCGGCTAATTTTTTGTATTTCTAGTAGAACGACACATTCATAATTGCAGGAGATACGAGACAGAGAGAGAGAGAAAGGGAGAGAAAGGGAGAGCGCAGTGAGCACGAGCGACCTTTCTGGGTCTAGGTCCTGCTCCAGGTTCTGGTGGGCTTTGAGAGTATTTTCATTACATGCCTGATGTGTGCCCACACCTTGCTTGGGTGTATGCAGTGAGTAACTGCTAGGTGTTTAGTACACGTATTAGGCACCTGCTGGTGCCAAAACTTCTTTCTAAATCCTCCGCAGCTGAGCCTGGTGCCTCACGCCTGTAGTCCCAGCACTTTGGGAGGCTCAGGCGGGAGGATCTTTTAAGCCCAGGAGTTCGACACCGGCTTGGGTAACATCGGGAGCTCTGGTCTCTATAAAAATTTAAAAAATTAGTTGGGCGTGGTGGCGCGCGCCTGCAGTCCCAGCTACTCTGGAGGCTCAGGTGGGAGGGTAGCTTGAGCCCGGAGGTCGAGGCTGCAGTGAGCTGTAACTAATCACGCCACTGCACTCCAGCCTGGGCGACAGAGCGAGACCCTGCCTCAAGAAAAAAATAAATAAATAAAATATTCCTCAGCGACAAAAACAAACGCAAGCCCGAGCTCGCCTCAGCCCCAGGCAGCCTGGAAAGCCCTCCTGCCCCGAGCGTCCAAAGATCCAGCGCCTGCGCATGCGCACTCCGCGCGGCCTGTTGGGACTGGAACCAGTCCCTCCCATCGGCGGACTACATTTCCCACAGGCCTCCGCGCGCAGTTCTTTCCGGCTTCCCTGCTGGTGTCGGCTCCGAGAGGTGAGTTGGTCGCGTGCACCCAGGCAATGGGCGCGGGGGCGGCGCGGGGGCGGCGCGGACTTCTGTGTGAGCCAGGAGGCCGTAGCTGTGGAGTTTGTGCCGCTGACTGGGCGCTGGGTGCCCTGTTGCGTCCTCTGCCTTACCGCTTCAGAGCCGCGCAGGTCCAGCGGCCCGGAATGGCTCCGAGTTAGATGCAGGAACCCCGGAGTGAATGAAGGCCCCCAAACAAAAAGACGCAGTCTGAAGGAGGACTGCAGATTGCACAGCTTTACCCGAGCTCCCTCCCATGGAAACTGCGGGGAACTCGGAGACAGATTCCAGCCCCTTCGTCTACCTGGCCTTTCTCTCTGATACGGGAAAGGGTCAGCTTTATTCCAGGCTCCCTGTTATTTCCATCGGGTTTTGCGCGCAGTAGACGGAGGGAGCAAGTGCGCTAGCGGGGGTGTGTCCTGATCAGCCAAGGCCGGCTGCAGGAAAGGCCTGGGGTCTCAAGATTCCCGTCTCCTTTCCCAATCCTGCTGTTCTTTAGGAAGGCAGCGGGGAGAGGAGGAAATGATTACTGTTGCATATACACAAGTCAACATCCAGATGAGTGTTTCCTTTTTGTTCCATGAAGTGTAATTTTTATTTTTCTGGGCGTGGGGACATTTGCTTTCCTCTTCTGTGAAGGGGTGAAAATCAGCTCGGACTGAACAATGAAGCAGCTCTGTCATTAATCAGGCTGGGAAGGAAGAGACAGATAACGCCAGTTGCAAAATTAATAGAAAACATGATTTCTTCCCAGATGGTGCAGTAGTTGTAAAATGGCATAATGACTCCGTCTTTGAGAGATTACAGTTTTCTTACCAGTGATGTTCTAGACTTGCTTTGCTGTTTTCATTCTATTACTGGGGATACCCTCTTGATTACACTCATGATTGCATTCAATATCTCATTAATTCCTGCCTTTCATAATCTCACCTTGGAAACAACAGCCATTCCAGATCGCAGCTGTCATTAGATCCTCCTTAGAATCCTTCAGCTGGAACTCAACCATTTACAAAAAGAGCTTTTCCCCTCTCTCTCGTCCATCCTATTCCAGCCCTTCCTGTGGAATTTTCTCCCTTTCCTTTTTTTTTTTTTTTTTTGAGACGGAGTCTCGCTCTGTGGCCCAGGATGGAGTGGAGTGCAGTGGCCGGATCTCGGCTCACTGCAAGCTCCGCCTCCCGGGTTCACGCCATTCTCCTGCCTCAGCCTCCCGAGTAGCTGGGACTACAGGCGCCCGCCACCTCGCCCGGCTAGTTTTTTGTATTTTTTAGTAGAGATGGGGTTTCACCGTGTTAGCCAGGGTGGTCTCAATCTCCTGACCTCGTGATCCACCCGTCTCGGCCTCCCAAAGTGCTGGGATTACAGGCTTGAGCCACCGCGCCCGGCCAATTTTCTCCCTTTCTACTAGTCAATAGATACGATTTTGTCGGACTATGCGGGCTTGTTCCCGTTAATCTTCGGCTGGTTAGGCTTTAACTCCTGAAATGTCCTGTCCACTGACCTGGTGCTTTTTCCTTCCTTCCCAGTGAATGATGGGGTGATCAGCGTGGATTCCAACTTCCTACCCCTTTCCAGTAGGTTTTTGTTTTGTTTTGTTTTGTTTTTGAGATGGACTCTGGGTCTGTTTTTTGAGACGGAGTCTGGGTGTGTTACTCAGGCTGGAGTGCAGTGACAGGATGGGCTCACTGCAACCTCCGCCTCCTGGGTTCAAGGGATTCTCCTGCCTCAGCCTCTCCAGTAGCTAGGATTACAGGGATGAGTCACCGCGCCCGGCTTCCAGTAGGTATTGACGTGAGCATTTGGCAGTAATTTAGTTTCTCTTATGAGCTGCCTCTTTCTAATCATTTGGATGGTCTGGAAGTAAACCTCCTGAAGAGAAGCTAACTGCAGAACTTTATTTTGTTATTTATTTATTTATTTATTTATTTATTTATTTTGGAGACAGAGTCTTGCTCTGTCGCCCAGGCTGGAGTGCAGTGGCGCGATCTCGGCTCATTGCAAGCTCCACCTCCCGGGTTCAAGTGATTCTCCTGCCTCTGCCTCCTGAATAGCTGGGACTACAGGCGCCCGCCACTGCGCCCGGCTAATTTTTTGTATTTTTAGTAGAGACGGGGTTTCACCGTGGTCTCGATCTCCTGACCTTGTGATCCGCCCGCCTCGGCCTCCCAAAGTGCTGGGATTACAGGCGTGAGCCACCACGCCCGACCAGAACTTTATTTTATTACTTTTTTTTTTTTTTTTGCGGGGGGAGGGGGACAAAGTCTCACTCTGTCCCTCAGGCTGGAGTGCAGTGAAGTGATCTCGCTCCCTGCAGCCTGGACCTCCCTGGCTCAAGTGATCCTCCCACCTCAGCCTCCTGGGTAGCTGAGACCACAGGTACGTGGCCCCACGCCCAATTTTTAAAATTTTTTGTAGAAATGAGGTCTCCCTATGTTGCACAGGCTGATCTCAAACTCCTGGACTCAAGGAATTCTTCCACCTCAGCCTCCCAAAGTGTTGAGATTACAGGCATGAGCCACCGCGCTGAACTTTCATTCGATGGTGATTAGTTGAGGAGTTTACAGTTTAGATGGAATGACACACTAGGTCTCTTTGATCCCCACCGCCCTGAGTTCAAAAGCAGGGAAAGGTAAGGAGGTGGTTTGACGACAGGATCTTTTCTGCTTTTGAGGCTTTTAAGGAGTGATAATATGATAGGGTTTTTAGTGGAGAGGTCTGTGTTAACAAGGGAAGGGATTATTAGAAGGGAAGGGAAGACAGTAGAAATTTGGAAAGTGGTTTGAAGTTTTTGACAGGGTGAGTTTGTTTCAGGCCACATATTTATCAGGTCTCATGAGATGCAGTTTAGTATAGTGACAGTCGTCTGGGTTATGGAGCTAAAGTAGTGGGGTTCTAGTCCTCAACCTGCCACTTAGAGCTGCCTGAGCTTGGGACAATTTATTTCATCTCTTTGTGCCATAGTTTCATCATCTGCAAAATGAGGATAATGATAGACCCTACGATATAGGATGGCTCTGAGTAGAGGAATTAATATATGCAAAACCCTTAGTTAATGCTTGGCACATAATAAATGCTCAGTAGATTTGTTACCGTTAGGTTGTAATTTAATATTTTTCCTCATCACCCATATCCAAAAATTAGTATCCTACCACATTTGTCGTATCTGTGTACCCTCCTTTTGTAAACTGTTGATCATCAAGAAGGATTACCTATCAACAGCAGGGCTGTGAAGAATGTTTTTTGTTTGTTTGTTTTTTGAGACAGAGTTTTGCTCTGTCATCCAGGTTGTAGTGCAGTGGCACGATCTTGGCTCACTGCAACCACCACCCCCCAGGTTCAAGCCATTCTCCTGCCTCAGCCTCCCAAGTAGCTGAGATTACAGGTATGCATCACCGTGCCTGGCTAATTTTTGTATTTTTAGTAGAGACAGGGTTTCACCATGTTGGCCAGGCTGGTCTTAAACTCCTGACCTAAGTGATCCGCCTGCGTTGGCCTCCCAAAGTGCTGGGAAGAATTCTAAAAATAATTGTGGGAAGAAGCATAAGTAGTATTCTTCATCTTTAGTAATATAGCTGACTTATGAAATGCTTATTTACTATTCTAAGTGCCTTATATGTAGTATCTTATTTAGTTCTCATAACAATTCTTTCAGGTAGAAACTGTAGTTCTCACCATTTCATATGGGGGAACTGGAAAGTAACCTAATATCATGCAGTAAAAAAAAAAAAAAAAAAGCATATATTGGTAATTACAACAGTATACCAAATATCATCGTAAAAAAATCTGGCTGGGCACGGTGGCTCATGCCTGTAATCCCAGCACTTTGGGAGGCCAAGGCAGGTGCATTACCTGAGGTCAGGAGTTTGAGACCAGCCTGGCCAAAATAGTGAAACCCATCTCTACTGAAAATACAAAAATGAGCTGGGCATAGTGGCACACGCCTGTGATCCCAACTATTCGGGAGGCCGAGAATCGCTTGAACCCAGGAGGTGGAAGTTGCGGTGAGCTGAGATCGTGCCACTGCGCTCCATCCTGGGTGACAAAGCGAGACCTTGTCTCAAAAAAAAAAAAAAAAAAAAAATCCTTTCTGCTTTATTCAGCAATCTCACGATGAAGGGAAGAGATATCAATCTGATAGATATCGATCTGATGATGGCACGCACTGTCAAGTTTTGTCCAGATTATACTGAAGCTATAGGGTCTTTATGGAGGTAACTGGATTTCATACAGATGTATGCCTTACAGTTTTTATTTTAATGATGTTATATGCAAAGTGAGACCAGTTGGTCAAGGAGACCCAACATCTGCTGGAGGGCTTCATAGGCATCTTAGCCAAAAGAACTGGTTCAGACGCAAAATAAACCTGTTTGTCCGGAAGATGTAAAAGGAAGCAGCATAGGGCTGCCTTCAGTGCTTAGAAGACATCAGTCAGGGACTTTTTGCCATTCTTTTCTAGGCCATACTCCAACACACATGGGCAAATTAAATCATAGCGTTGGTTCATGAATGGGAAGCTGAAGTGGAAAAAAAAGCCACTCAGGAAAAACAGCATCTGTTTTTACAGTATCCTTAGCTTTTTTTCTCAGTTAAAGGGAAGACTGAAAGAAAAACTTGAGCCGGGAAAGTCTTATTTGGAGTATTTGGGTATTTCAGGCTCACGCTATTTAATGTGGTGATGCGTGTTGCTGGCTGTGACTGTAAACATTTTAACTAGTCCTGCTAGGGAAACATGATTTTTTTTTTTTTTTTCTGTCAAAATAGTTTCACACTACACATGCTGGTATTTTCTTTTTTTAAAACACAGTGGCTTCACCCATTCAAAATTAAGGCAACATCATTTTTAATAGTTGCATCATTTTCAGTGGTATGGATAAACAACAGGTTATTGAACCATTCCAAAATTAGGTTCCTTTCAGCTTTAATCCACTATAAACCATGCTGTCAGCATAGCTCTGCATAAATTTTTTTTTTTTTTTTGAGACAGAGTCTCCCTCTGTCACCCAGGCTGGAGTGCAATGGCACGATCTCAGCTCACTGCAACCTCTGTCTCCCGGGTTCAAGCGATTCTTCTGCCCTAACCTCCCGAGTAGCTGGGATTACAGGCACCTGCCATCATGCCCGGCTAATTTGTGTATTTCTGTAGAGACAGGGTTTCACCGTGTTGGCCAGGCTGGTCTTGAATTCCTGACCTCAGGTGATCCGCCCACCTCAGCCTCCCAAAGTGTTTGGATTACAGGTGTGAGCCAGTGCCCCTGGCCATAGCTCTACATAATCCTTATGTACAGATACAAACAGTCCCTTTAGTGTCGGAAGTGGAGCTTCTGATTCAGAGTTTACAGGGTTGAAATGCTGCTTCACATAGCTCTAAATGTGGACTGACCTAGTGTCGGCGTCCCCATGACCTTGCTAATAGAGGGCATCATCCGTCTTTGAGGTCTCCCAATGCAGGTACATTTTGTTTGCTTTAACACTCATTTTTTTCTTTTCTTTTCTTTTCTTTTCTTTTCTTTTCCTTTCTTTTCCTTTCTCTCTTTCTCTCTTTCTTTCTTTCACAGGATCTTACTCTGTTGCCCAGGCTTGAGTGCAGTGGCATGATCTCAGCTCACTGCAACCTCTGCTTCCCAGGCTCAAGCCATCCTCCTGCCTCAACCTCCTGAGTAACTGAGACTACAGGTGTATACGCTACCATGCCTGGCTAATTTTTTAAATTTTTTTTGTAGAGACGAGGTCTTGCTATGTTGCCCAGATTCTGGTAACTACCATTCTACTCTGTACTTCTATGAGATCAAGTTTGTTTGTTTGTTTGTTTGTTTGTTTATTTTGAGACAGAGTTTTGCTCTTGTTGCCCAGGCTGGAGTGCAATGGTGTTATCTCAGCTCATCACAACCTCCTCCACCTCCCGGGTTTAAGTGATTCTCCTGCCTTAGCCTCCTGAGTAACTGGGATTACAGGTGTGCACCACCATGCTCAGCTAATTTTGTATTTTTAGTAGAGACAGGGTTTCTCCGTGTTGGTAGGGCTGGTCTTGAACTGCCAACCTCAGGTGATCCGCCTGCCTCGGCCTCCCAAAGTGCTGGGATTACAGGTGTAAGCCACCATCCCTGGCTGAGATCAACTTTTTAAGATTCCATTTATGAGTGAGATCATGTGGTGTTTATCTTTCTGTTTCTGGCTTATTTCTCTTAACATAACATCCTTCCAGGTTTATCCATGTTGTCACAAATGACAGGTTTTGTTTCTTTATCATAGCTAAATAGTATTACATTTTATATACATAGCAGATTTTCTTTGTCCATTCATCCATTGATGGACACTTAGGTTGATTCCATGTGTTGGCCATTGTGAATAATACTATCATAAATGTGAGAGTGCAGAGATCTCTTTGACATTCTGATTTCATTTCCTTTGAATATATACAGTAGCGTGATTGCTAGATCATATGGTAGTTCTATTTTTAATTTTTTGAGGTCTTTCCATACTGTTTGTCATAATGACTGGCTTCCCAAAGTGTTGGGGTTACAGGCATGACCCATCATGCCCAGTCTGTTCAGATTTTTTATTTCTTCATAATTCAATCTTGGTAGGTTATATGTGTCAGGGAATTAATCATTTATTCTAGGTTATCCAATTTCCTGGTGTATATTTGTTCATAATAGTCTCTTGTATTTCTGTTGTATCAGTTGTAATGTTTCCTTTTTCATTTCTGGTTTTATTTGAATATTTTCAATATTTTCTGTTTTCTCTTGGTTAGTATAGCTTAGTTAGGTTTGTCAATTTTGTGGGGTTTTTTTTTCTTTTTTCTTTTTTTTTTTTTTTTTTTTGAGACGGAGTCTCGCGCTGTGTCACCCAGACTGGAGTGCAGTGGCGCGATCTCGGCTCACTGCAAGCTCCGCCTCCCAGGTTCACGCCATTCTCCTGCCTCAGCCTCCGAGTAGCTGGGACTACAGGCGCCCGCCACCACGCCCGGCTAGTTTTTTGTGTTAGCCAGGATGGTCTCGATCTCCTGACCTCGTGATCCACCCGCCTCGGCCTCCCAAAGTGGTGGGATTACAGGCTTGAGCCACCGCGCCCGGCCTTCTTTTTTCAAAAAAAAGCAAAAACTCTTAATTTTATTGATTCTTTCTAATGGCTTTCTAGTCCGTGTCATTTATTTCTGCCCTAATCTTTATTATTTTCTTCCTTCTAACTTGGGGCTATACCTGGATATTAACCTTTCCTCACGTTTGGAAAGTTTTTTTGCTACTCTTTTTTTCTCTTTCCTCTTTCTTTTTCCTTCCTTCCTTCCTCCCTCCCTCCCTCCCTTCCTTCCTTCCCTCCTTCCTTCTTATCTCCCTTCCTTTCCTTTCATCTCACTCTGTTGCCCAGGCTGGAGTGTAGTGGCATGATCATAGCTCACTGCAACCTTGAACTTCTGGGCCCAAGTGATCCTCCTGCTTCAGCCTCCTGAGTAGCTGAGACTACAGGCACCCACCACCACGCCACCTATTTTTTTTGTATTTTTTAGTAGAGACGGGGTTTCACCATGTTAGCCAGGATAGTCTCAATCTCCTGACCTCGTGATGCAACCGCCTCGGCCTCCCAAAGTGCTGGGATTACAGACGTGAGCCACTGCATCCGGCCCTGCTTTTCTTATTACTGTGCTACAACCCAGTACTGCGATCTCTCACCTGGTTGCCTTAGCTGTTGTGAAGGCATTTTTGTTCATGGATAATTGCTCAAACTGGTGTTTCTGCAGGTGGCCCATAGATGGAGAGAACTATTTTGCTATCTTCTGAGATTTAATATTTTTTGAAAGATTATTAGCTGGGCATGGTGGTGCCCACCTATAGTCCCAGCTACTTGGGAATCTGAGGTGGGAGGCTGCTGTGAGCCAAGATCATGCCTCTGCAGTCCAGCCTGGGTAACAGAGTGAGACCCTGTTTTTGAAAAACAAAACAAAATCTACAGTTAGTTATTCCTTTTTTTTTTTTTTTTAGTGAATTGCTGATGATCAGATTTCTCCTGGTGAAGTAGAAATCCTTGCTTCAGAGACAAATACCTGAGTTGAAAGAGAAACTGGCTTTTAGGCTGAGTGTGGTGGCTCACGCCTGTAATCCTAGCATTTTAGGAGGGTGAGGCGGGCGGATCAGTTGAGGTCAGGAGTTCGAGACCAGCCTGGGCAACATGGTGAAACCCTGTCTTTACTATAAATACAAAAATTAGCTGGGCATAGTGGCAGGCGCCTGTAATCCCAGCTACTTGGGAGACTGAGGCAGGAGAATCGCTCGAACCCAGGAGCTGGAGGTTGCAGTGAGCTGAGATCGTGCCATTGCACTCTAGCCTGGGTGACAGAGTGAAATTCCATCTTTAAAAAAAAAAAAAAGTCAATAAAAGAGAAGGAGTGGTGAAGGATGTCATGGTATGGGAGGCCCTGATTGGAAAACTGGAGTGGTGAGCTTCCTGGCTGGGGAAGGCAAGGGTAGCCTCACATTGGTGGAAGCTGCCAGGTTCAATCTGTGTAGTCTTTTAGTTGTTGTGTTTAGGCAGTTCAGGCAGGATTCTAGGAGCAGGATTCAGGGCCCATCTCAGTCCTGAAAAGTTGTCCTAGAGTGAGGAGGAGCTGCTCAGAACAAATCTGAGTAATCCAGTGCCTGGACCAGATCCACATTGCCAGAGGGCGACCTGGTCAGAAATCCTCTTGCAGAAGTAGCTAGCCTTCTACACCAAGTTCATCATTTGTCACCTGTTTCTTCAGAGCTTTTCTTTTTCTTCTCTTCTCTTCTCTTTTCTTTCCTTCTTTCGCTCTTGTTGCCCAGGCTGGAGTGCAATGGCACAATCTCGGCTCACTGCAACCTCTACCTCAAGCGATTCTCCTGCCTCAGCCTCCCAAGTAGCTGGAATTACAAGCATGTGCCACCACGCCCGGCTAGTTTTGTGTTTTTAGTAGAGGCGGGGTTTCTCCATGTTCGTCAGGCTGGTGTCGAACTCCTGACCTCAGGTGATCCGGCTGTCTCGGCCTCCCAAAGTGCTGAGATTACAGGCGAGAGCCACTGCACCTGGCCAGAGCTTGTATTTCTTTAGACTCCCTATACTTTTCCCCAGTTTATGTGGGTATAGCATAGGATGGGCATAGTGGTAGGTAGTATTTTGGAAGAGCCAATGGAAGTAGTTTGGGAGAAGGAATGGAAGAGAAAAAAGTTTTCATATTTATGATGTATATCATTTTGGGAGCTCTGTGGCACAGCTTATTTCGTGGTTTCTTTTTTTTCTTTCAGCTCTGGCTCATCAGGACTCCGTAGTTCTCTAACAGAGAAATCTCAAAAAGGACTGACGAGTTTTTGCACTTCTAAAACCATGGCCCATGTAAGTTAATGTTTCTCTATCCTTTTCAAAATACTGTCAATTTCTGTATCATGTATGTAGATTCATTTTTTATTCTGAAACTTCCTGCTTACCAGAGCTTCATCCAAGAACCTGCTCCATGGCTGGGCACGGTGACTCACACCTGTAATCCTCACTTCAAATGATCCACCTGCCTTGACCTCCCAAAGTGCTGGGATTACAGGCATGAGACATCATCCACCATGACACCTAGCCTTTTTTTTTTTCTTTTTTTTTTTTTTTTGACACAAGGTCTCACTTGGTCACCCAGGCTGGAATGCAGTGGCATGATCCCAACTAACTGCAGCCCCAACCTCCCAGGCTCAGGTGATCCTCCCACCTGAGCCTCCTGAGTACTGGGGACTACAGGCACGTGCCACCACTCCTGGCTAACTTCCAAAATTTGTTGTAGAGATGGGGTCCCACTACGTTGCCTAAGCTGAACTCGAACTCCTGGGCTCAAGTGATTCTCCCACTTCAGCCCCCCAAAATATTGGCATTATAGGTGTGATCCACCGCTCCTGATCCAATGCCTTTTTTTTTTAAACAAAAATAACATCCAGGAAGAATCTTGTTATATCCCAAATACAGTTGTTAGACCAATGGAACCATCTGCAGATGTTTTGAAATGTGTGTAACTATCATTCAAGGGCATATGTGTACCTGGTGCTGCTAGTGACTGAGGAGGTAGCAGCACCATCCTGAGCGTCAGCTGTTCCTGCTGTTACGTTCTTGTTGGAAACAATTTTCCATACTGTGTTTCACATGTAGCCCTCGTTTTTGTCTAGTGTAAAATGAGTTCCTAAAAGGTTGGAAAAGTATTGAAGAAAATTGTGGAGAAAGAAACAAAGCAAGTGAGAAAAATGAATTTAGTAAAAGAGATGATTAAAATACTAAAAGCAGGCTGGGTGCGCTGGCTCATGCCTGTAATCCCAGCACTTCGGGAGGCTGAGGAGGGCAGATAACGAGGTCAGGAGATCGAGACCATCCTGGCTAACATGGTGAAACCCCGTCTCTACTTAAAAAATACAAAAAATTAGCCGGGCGTGGTGGCGGGCACCTGTAGTCCCAGCTACTTGGGAGGCTGAGGCAGGAGAATGACGTGAACCTGGGAGGCGGAGCTTGCAGTGAGCCAAGATCCTGCCACTGCACTCCGGCCTGGGTGACAGAGCGAGACTCCATCTCAAAAAAAAAAAAAAAAAATACTAAAAGCAAAGATATTGTGTGTGCACTGACCCACTGTGTCCCATAGTTCTATATTGGAGGAAAATGTGCGAAGCTAGTTGGAGGGATGAAATTGACATACAACACTTTATAATGCTCTGATTTAACATAATGGCAGGCCATGTGTAGTGGCTCACGCCTGTAATCCCTCCTTTGGGAGGCCATTGCTTGAGGCCAGGAATTCAAGGTTGCAGTGAGCTGTGATCACATCACTGTACTCCAGCCTAGGCAACAGCCTGGGCAGCAGAGTGAGACCCTGTCAAAAAAAAAAAAAAAAGAAAAGAAAAAGAAAAGAAAGAAAAGGGAAGGAAGGAAGAAAAGAAAGAAAATAGAAAATACGTTATGGAAAAATAGGTACCTGGTTAATCGTTAAAATGTCTGATTTTCAGGAATTGATTACTGATGTTAAGTGGGAGGTCCCTATTTTGAGCTTTCCTTAACATCTGTGATTTGATGACAGAGAAATTTTGGTCTTATCTGATTGCTTATGGGGAAAACTCTAAACTTCTCCACAGATCTGAGTTTTTCAAGTATGTAAGATAGGATTTAGTGTTGACTGACCTTAGTTTTTTTGTGTGTTGAGACCCTATGCTATGGAAGGCTTTTAGGGTTAGGTGAATTGGGTAGGGATGTAATTGGGCCTTATAAGGTAAGGCCTAAACTTTCATGTGTTCCTTGACACTTTTGTCAAGACCCTAAAGGCCTAACCATGAGTTTCCCTGCTCTTACCCGACATGCCCACCCCCAGCGGGAAAGGCTTCCTACTCAGCTAGTTCCCCTATGAGCTGGACAAGTTACACCCCTCATGGTCCTCAACCTAATGGGTTTCACCTCCCTCCTAGCCTATGGAATTATTCAAACAAGCCAATCACATACCACTACAGGAACCAGGGAACACCTCACCTTGTTATTACTGTAAAGCCTGCCTCCCACACCCCTGCTTGTTCATGCTGTTCTTGAATGCAACCCCCTTGTGCCCCTGCATGATGTATGATGTCCTCTCTCAGGCTCTGAATATATGCATCTAACAAATTGCTGTCAATCTCATCTGTCCGGCGTGGGCTATTTGATTGTCTTGTACTTTTTAGGGCAGGGATCCCTCCTTCACCAATAGGGTGAATAGGATGTGATCAGAATAGGACTGCAAATAGATACATCAATCCATGGAGATTTCCTCCTGCGGAGAAGAATGCCAGAAGCGAGGTCCACTGTGTATTTTTACAGGATGTGCTGGTCTAAAGCAGGATTTCTCAACCTTGAAACTATTGACTTTTTTTTTTTTTTTTTGAGACCGAGTCTTACTCTGTCGCCTAGGCTGGAGTGCAGTGGTCTCAGCTCACTGCAACCTCCGTCTCCTGGGTTCAAGTGATTCTACTGCGTCAGCCTCCTGTAGCTGAGATTACAGGCTCCCACCATCACACTCAGCTGATTTTTGTATCTTTAGTAGAGACAGGGCTTCACCATGTTGACTAGGTTGGTCTCAAACTCCTGACCTCAAGTGATCTGCCCACCTTGGCCTCCCAAAGTGTTGGGATTACAGGCATGAGCCACTGTACCTGGCCTGAACTATTAACATTTTGCTGGAGAGTCTTGTATTGTAGGAGGCCGTCCTGTGCATTGTAGGATGTCTAACAGTGTCCTTGGCCTCTACCCATTAGATGCCTGTAACACTCACACCCTTTCCTCCAATTGTGACAACCAAAGTTGTCTCCAGATATGGCCAGATATCTTTTGGGGAGCAAAATGACTCTTCATGAAAATGACTGATACAGGGGGCTAGGCATGGTGGCTCGCGTCTGTAATCCCAGCACTTTGGGAAGCCGAGGTGGGTGCATCACGAGGTCAGGAGATCGAGACCATCCTGACTAACATGGTAAAACCCCATCTCTACTAAAAATACAAAAAAATTTAGCCGGGCATGGGGGCAGGCGCCTGTAGTCCCAGCTACTCGGGAGACTGAGGCAGGAGAATGGTGTGAACCCGGGAGGTGGAGCTTGCAGTGACCTGAGATCACGCCACTGCACTTCTGCCTGGGCGACAGAGTGAGACTCCGTCTCAAAAAAAAAAAAAAAAAAAGAAAACGATTGATACTGGTGTCCCGGTAATATCTTTATGATATCTTCATGATTCAGTATCCTGTAACTCAGCAACAAAAAAACGATGTTCAAGAGATGATAGATGGTGACAAGCAAGAAGATGATTCACATCCGTAAGGATTAGATATTGTAGACATTGAGAATTGGGGAAGACTTTCAAGATTTTATTGAATTAAAATATCTAAAGAAAAAAGAATCTAATATATTAAAAATGTAGACTGCCATCGAACAAATTTTTGAAAGTTTGCTAAAGAATTGGTTATAAAAGGGAAAGTGTTTACAATAAAACCCGAGTTTGTGATGAATTTGAATCTATCTTCTTAGAGATTTTGTAGCACATGTGAGATAAATTTTTATCAATGTTTTTAAATGATCATTAAAGGGAAAAAGAAAGCTTCCAAGACCTCATATTTCTTGTTTTAAAATTTTTAAATTTTTAAATTTCTTTTTTTGTAGAGACAGGGTCTTGCTAATGTTGATCAAGCTGGTCTTGAACTTCTGGGCTCGACTGATTCTCTCATCTGGGCCTCCCAAAGTGCTGGGATTATAGGCATGAGCCTCTGTACTTTGCCTCAAGACCTCATATTTTTAAAGAATTTATGGTGGAGGCACATAGTATTCAAAAGGCTTGTGTGGAATATTTCATTTAATTAGGATTTTTTGGGTTACATACTCATTTCTAGATATGTTTGGGTGAAAATGTCGTCATATCTGTAGCCACAGGACTATTTAAGAACATGTAGGCTCAATGCTTCAGAAATACTGATTTTCTTACTGGCCCCTACTCATGTCACAAGTTTTCAGCCCAGTGCTGTTTGCATGCCATGTTACCCCTCTCCGCAATGCAATCCTCAATCTCCCCTCTTTCCATTGTAAAAGTATTTAATTTATTTTCACAAGTAATAACTGAGTTTGTTTTTTCAGGGTTCAGTGACATTCAGGGATGTGGCCATAGACTTTTCACAGGAAGAATGGGAATTCCTGGATCCTGCTCAGAGGGACTTATATAGGGATGTGATGTGGGAGAACTATAGCAACTTCATTTCACTAGGTAAGGTTATTTATCCCAAATGATATTAACTTTCTCTGCTGTCAATTTCAGGACTGTATTTAGAAAAACTATCTAAAACTTCTACTTTCTGTTCCCAAAGGAATGATTTAAGCTTTGTTAGGTTGGAACTAGGCCTCTCCATTTCATCATGTCCAGTCAGCTATGCCCTTCAGGCTTCCTTCAGACTCTATAATTCCTGATTTCCTTAGTATCCAAGGGGATGGATTTGAATATGGCAAAAGCATTGTTCAAGAAACCAGACTTCACCGTATATTGGAGCTTGGAATTGACATAAATGCTTCACACCACTTTCTAGTCCATCTGCAAGTAGAATACCTAGACATAGGGGTTCTGAGTTTCTCTAAAAATCAAAGGAGTCTGTAGAACATAGATAGTGTGAGATGGATCCAGAAAGGTTGTTTAGAACTCGTAGCCGGGAATGGTGGTTCATGCCTGTAATCCCAGCTACTTGGGAGGCTGAGGTAGGAGAATCACTTAAACCTAGGAGGGGGAGGTTGCAGTGAGCTGAGATCACACTACTGCATTCCAGCCTGGGTGACAGAGCAAGACTCCATCCCAAAAACAACCCCTCAAGGCCAGGCATGGTGGCTCATGCCTGTAATCCCAGCACTTTGGGAGACCGATGCAGGTGGATCACTTGAGGTCAGGAGCTCGAGACCAGCCTGGCCAACGTGGTGAAACCCCATCTCTACTAAAAATACAAAAATTAGCCAGGCATGGTGGTGTGTGTCTGTAATCCCAGCTACTTGGGAGGTTGAGGCAGGGAGAATTGCTTGAAGCTGGGAGGCTGAAGTTGCAGCGAGTTGAGATCGCGCCACTGCACTCCAGCCTGGGTGACAGAGCGAGACTCCGTCTCAAACAGAAAAAACCCTGAAACACATTCTGTTTCCTATAACAGACGTATTCAGTTCTACCTACTTCGTAATTGAAAATTAAAATCTAAAAGCCTGGCATTTAACATTGAATGAATATCCTAGAAAAGATCTGAGAATGTCTCAATAAACCTTTTATTATGCACTCATCAAAATGATAACAGTAAATAGCTAATAGCCAATACATATATTATGTGTATATGTTAATAAACATCACCATATATTTGGGCTTGAACATTATTCTAAGCATTGTTCATTATTAATTAATCCTCACAACAACTCTATGAAAAGATACTATTACCTTCATTTTATTTGAGAAAACATAGACACAAAAGGTTAATAATTTGCTAGGTAACACAGAAACAAAGGCAGGATGTAAAGCCAGACAGTCTGGACCCAGTCTGTATTCTTCCCTCTACACAATACTGCCTTTCAACAGAGCCTGTGTGAGGTTAAATTATATTAAGGCCTGTTCTTGACCAGATGGTTAATATAATGGCCTTAGTATAATTAATTTAACCTCATACAGGCTATTCGTTGTGACCCTCAAGTTACCTTAATATGAGCATTCTTCAACTGCCTTGCAATTCTTTGCTCTTAGGCTTTATAAAGTGTCATATTGATTTATAGTTAAACATAAATTTAACCAAATCTGAATCTAAAGATTTTCAGGTATATAATTTCATGTCACATTTTTCTTTTAAGCAGGACCTTCCATTTCTAAACCAGATGTGATTACCTTATTGGATGAAGAAGGGAAGGAACCCGGGATGGTTGTAAGGGAAGGGACAAGAAGATACTGCCCTGGTGAGTGAGGGCTGAGCAGGCATTGAGAAATCATTACTGCAGGTAATAGCTAAACTGACTAGGGTGGAGGCACACCCTTGAGATGTTGGGATCTCTCTTCAAAAAGTCCCTGGCCTATGGACTTGTGACTTGAAGCAAATTAAGATCTTTTAAGCCTGGACTAGCAAAGGAACTTTCTATTGACCTTGATTGCAACACTGTTTCTCATCTTTCATATTTCTATCACACTTTAAAGAGAAGAACTATTCCTGATAGAAGAAAAAAATAATTAAATATAAGAGCAGAAATCAGCAAAATAGAAAAGAAATAAAATTAATAAAGTCAAAAATTGATTTCTTGAAAAGATCAACAAAGATGGTAAACACCTAGTAATTTATGTTCTCTCTTTTTAAAGAACATAAATTACTAATATCAGGAATGAAAGAGGGATTTTCGCTTTAGATCCAATAGCCATTAAAAGAATAATAAGAGGCCGGGCATGGTGGCTCATACCTGTAATCCCAGCATTTTGGGAGGCCGAGGCAGGCTGGACACTTGAGGTCAGGGGTTCCAAACCAGTCTGGCCAACACAGCAAAACACTGTCTCTACTAAAAATACAAAAATTAGCTGGGCATGGTGGTGGGTGCCTGTAGTCCCAGCCACTCTGGAAGTTGAGACACAAGAGTCGCATGAACCTGGGAGGCAGAGGTTGCAGTGAGCCAAGATCGCGCCATTACACTCCAGCCTGAGTGACAGAGTGAGACTCTACCCCTACTCCAAAAAAAAGAATAATAAGAGAATGCCATGAATTACTTTATGCCAGTAAATTTGATAACTTAAATTTTAAAATTTCTGGAGAAATACAACTTACCGGAACTGACACAAGATGTAAAAGAAATTGAATACCCTTATGCTATTAAAGTAATTGAATTCGTTATCAGAAATCTCCACAAAGAAAATGCCAGCCCCAGATGGTTTCACTGGTGAATTCCATTAAATATCTAAGGAAGAAGTAGCAGCAGTATCATACAAACTCCTTCAGAAAAGGAATGCATTTTATGAGGCCAACATAACATACCATAACCCGAAAAAGAAATTACAAAAAAAGCATAAACCCATATCTTTTCCATACGTAGATACAAAAATTTTAACCAAATATTAACAAATCAAATATAATGATATACAAAAATGATGATTAAGTGGGGTTTCTTTCTACCTGTTAATTCACCATATTAACAGAAAAAGTGAAAGACCATATGATCATTATCTTAGTTCATTTTCTGTTGCTTATAACAGAATACCTTGAAATTCAGTAATTTATAAGGAAAAGGAGTTTATTTCTTACAGTTTTGGAGGCTGAGAAGTCCAGCGTCAAGGGGCTGTGTCTAGTGAGGGCCTTCTTGCTGTTGGGGACTCTGCTGAATTCCGAGGCTTTGCAGGGCATCACATGGCAAGGGGGCTGAACATGCAAATGTGCTAGTTCAGGCCTCCCTTCTTATAAAGTCATCAGTCCCAATCCTGTGATAACCCATTAATTGATTAACTCACCAATCCGTGAATAGGTTCATCCATTCATGAGAGCAGAGCCGTCATGGCCCAGTCACCTCTTAAAAACCCCACTCTCAATATTGCCATTAGGAATTAATTTTCAACATGAGTTTTGGAGGCAACAAACGTTCAAACCAGAGCAGTCATCTTCATATATGTAAAAATAGCATATGACAAAATCCACCATCCATTTATGATGAAAAGCTTTCAGCAAACAAGAAATTGAAGGGAACTTCCTCAATCTGGTAAGGGGCACCTATTAAAAAAATACACTATAAACTATAAAAATCCATTATCAATAAGAAAAAGAAATGAGACATAAAGATCAAAAAAGGAAGACGTAAGTCTGCATTTGGAGAGGACATGATTGTGTACATAGAAAGTCCTAAGGAATCAAGACAACAACTATTCGAAATAGTAATTGAAAAATCGCAATAAGGTCACAGGCTATAAAGTTAATGTTAAAAAATTGGCCGGGCGCGGTGGCTCACGCCTGTAATCCCAGCACTTTGGGAGGCCGAGACGGGCGGATCACAAGGTCAGGAGATCGAGACCATCCTGGCGAACCCGGTGAAACCCCATCTCTACTAAAAAATACAAAAAACTAGCCGGGTGAGGTGGCGGGCGCCTGTAGTCCCAGCTACTCGGGAGGCTGAGGCAGGAGAATGGCGTGAACCCGGGAGGCGGAGCTTGCAGTGAGCTGAGATCCGGCCACTGCACTCCAGCCTGGGTGACAGAGCGAGACCCTGTCTCAAAAAAAAAAAAAAAAAAAAGTCAGGCCGGGTGCAGTGGCTCACACATATAATCCCAGCACTTTGGGAGGCCAAGGCAGGCAGATCACTTGAGGTCAGGAGTTCGAGACCAGCCTGACCAACATGATGAAACCCCATCTCTACTAAAAATACAAAAATTAACTGGATGTAGTGGTGCATGCCTGTAATCCCAGCTACTCAGGAGCTGAGGTGGGAAAATTGGTTGCACTCAGGAGGCAGAGTTTGCAGTGAGCCGAGATCATGCCACTGCACTCCAGCTCAGATGATAGAGCAAGACTCCATCTCAAAAAATAAAATAGATAGATAGATAGATAGATAGATAGATAGATAGATAGATGGATGATCAGGGCTGGGCATGGTGGCTCATGCCTGGAATCCCTGCACTGTGGGAGGCCGAGGTGGGTGGATCACCTGAGGTCAGGAGTTCAAGACCAGCCTGGTCAACATGGTGAAACCCCATCTCTACTAAAAATATAAAAATTAGCCAGGCATGGTGGTGCGAGCCTGTAGTCCCAGCTACTGGGAAGGGTGAGGCACGAGAATCGCTTGAACCTGGGAAGTGGAGGTTGCAGTGAGCTGAGATCACACCACTGCACTCTACCCTAGGTGACAGAGTGAGTGAGACTCTGAGTCATAAATAAATAAATAGCTAAATCAGTTGTGTTTTATATATTAGAAGCAAAAAAAAAAAAAAAAAAAGGAAAAGTAAATAACAATTTATGGGAGTGTGAAAAAACATAAAATACTAAGAAGTGAGTTTGATAAAACATATGCAAGACATCTACGCTAAAAACCATAGACCATTGCTAAGAGAAATTAAATAAGGCCTAAATAAATAGAATTAATCATTTTTGGAATGGGAAGACTCAGTATTATAAAAATTTCAATTTTATTAATTCAATATAATTCCAGTCATAATCCTAGCAGGCTTTTTTTTTTTTTTTTTGGTAGAAATTAGCAAGCAGATTCTAAGATTTATACAAAATAACAAATGACTTAGCATATCCCAAGCAACTTGAAAACATAAGAACATATTACAGGACTTAGATGATATGACATCAAGATATTTCAGGATTTAAAATTACCCGATGTTGGCGTGGCACGTGCCTATAGTCCCAGTTACTCAGGAGGCCAAGGAAGGAGAATCGCGTGAATCTGGGAGGCGCAGGGAGGTCACGCTACTGCACTGCAGCCTGGGTGACAGAGTGAGACTCTATCTCAAAAAACAAACAAACAAACTTCAGGATTTATTAAAACTACAGTGATCAAGACAGTATGATATTGGCAAAGATCACCGAACAAAACAGAACAGAGGTCCTAGAAACATACCCTGCCATGCACACACTTAAAGGGTCATTTATTGTTTGACAAAGATGCCAAAGCATTCCAATGGGGAGAAGAAAGTCTTTTCAACATATAGTACTAGAATAACTGGGGAAACAAATAAACAAACCTCTCAACCTTTACCTCATACCAAAATTAATTTGAGATGGTTTTTAGACCTACATATAAACGCTAAAATCATAAAGTTTTTAGAGGGAAACAGGACAGTGATGAGTATCCCAACTTATGACTTGGCAGTAGGCAAAGGTTTCTTGAGTGAAAACAATAACCATAAAAATAAAAAAATCAGGCCGGGCGAGGTGGCTCAAGCCTGTAATCCTAGCACTTTGGGAGGCCAAGGCGGGCGGATCACCTGATTTTGGGAGTTTGAGACCAGCCTGGCCAACATGGAGAAACCTGATCTCTACTGAAAATACAAAAATTAGCCGTGCGTGGTGGCATGCCTGTAATCCCAACTACTCGGGAGGCTGAGGCAGGACAGTCACTTGAACCTGGGAGGTGGAGGTTCCAGTGAGCCAAGATCACACCACTGCACACCAGCTTGGGTGACAGAGTGGGACTCTGTCTCAAAATAAATAAATAATGAATACATTAGACTTTATCCAAATTGAAAACTTTGTCTCATGAGAATATACCAATAAGAAGATGAATGGGTAAGTCACAGACTGGGAGAGTAATAGTGGTAAAACGTATCTGACAAGGGACCAGTATCTAGTGTATATACAGCTCAGTGCTAAAATGATAAGTAGCCCAATTAAAACTGAGTGAAAGGCACACCAATACCATGAATAGACTGAGCAACAGCAAGGAATAAACTCTTGATACATGTAACAACTTGGGTGAATTTCAAGGAAATTATGCTGAGTGACAAAATCAATCACAAATGGTTATGCACTACATGACTTTACGTATGTAATATTTGCAAAATAACATAGACATGGAAAAACAAATTAGTGGTTTCCAAGGGTAGGGATGTAGGGAGGAGAGGATGGTTTGGGTTAGAAAGGGGTAACACAAGGAAGTCTTGCAGTCATGGTACGGGTGAGTATCTTGATTGTGGTGGTGGTTTTAGCAGGCTACCTGTGATAAAATTGCACAGAGCTATGCACATAAACACACGAGTGCACATAGAACTGGTGAAGTCTAAGTAAGCTCTATGGAATATACCAACATTAATTTCTTTCTTTTTTTATTTTTATTTTTTTGAGACAGAGTCTCACTCTGTCACCCAGGCTGGAGTGCAGTGGCGGGATCTCGGCTCACTGCACCCTCCACCTCCCGGGTTTATGTGATTCTCCCACCGCAGCCCCTCAAGTAGCTGGGATTACAGGCATGTGCCACCACACCCGGCTAAT